CAGAAAACTAAAAGGGAAGCACATGCTCAGCATTTCTCAAGATGAAAGAACTGGAGAAAACATTTAAGCCTTGGTTTGCAATGCTGAGGGATTCTGGTGTGGTGCTGTGGGTTAACGTGCTGGACTGCAAGGTCAGTTTGAAATGCAAGGTGGGTGGTTCAAGCTCACAAGCCACTCCTCAGAAAAAACCCTATACAGGGTCGCTATGAGTCAGAACAGATTTGACAACACATAACAACATAGGCAAAATAGTGAATAAAGCAGAAAGAATCAAAGAAGATGGAAGAAATACACAGAATCACCATACCAAAAAGAAATGGATGATGTTCAACCTCTCAAGATAGTATATAATTAAAAGCAATGGTACTTAAGAAAGAAGTCCAAGGTGTACTGGCAAAGGACAAGCCTCCAGGAATTGAAGGAATACAAATTGAGATATTTCAACAAACTGATGCAGCATTCGAGGTACTGATTCATCTATGTGAAGAAATTTGGAAGACAGTTTACCTAGCCAACTGATTGGAAGAGATCCATAATTGTGCTCATTCCAAAGAGAGGTAACCCAATGGAATGTGGAAATCATCGGATATTATCACTACCATGACATGTAATTAAAATTTTGCTGAAGATAATTCAAAATTGGCTGCAATAGTACATGAACAGAGAACTGTCAGAGGTACAAGCTGGATTCAGATGAGTATGCTGAATGAGAGATATCACTGCTGACATCAGACAGATCTTGGCTGAAATTAGAGAACAACAGGAAGATGTTTACCTGTGCTTTATTGACTATACAAAGGCTTTTGACTATGTGGATCATGACAAGCTGTGGACAAACACTGCAGAAAATGAGTATTCCAGAACACTTAATTGTGCTCATGAGGACCTTTATATAGATCAAGAGGCAGTTGTTTGAACAGGACAAGGGGACACTGAATGGTTTCAAATTAGAAAGGATGTGCACCAGGGTTGTATTTTCTCACCATACTTATTCAATCTATCTATTGAGCCAAATAATCCGAAAAGCTGGATTGTATGAAGAAGAACGTGGAATCAAAATTGAAAGAGGACTCATTAACCTGTGATATGCAGGCGATACAACTTTGCTTGCTGAAAGTGAAGAACAATTAAAATACTAATGAAGATCAAAGACCACAGCCTTCAGTATGGGTCACACCTCAGTGTAAAGAAAACAAAAATCCTCACCACTGGACCAATAAATAATATCATGATAAATGGAGAAGAGATTGAAGTTGTCAAAGATTTAATTTTACTTAGATCCACTATTAACTCTCATGGAAGCAGTAGTCAAGAAATCAAGCAGTGTCTTAAATGAGGCAAATCTGCTGCACAAGACCTCTTTAAAACGTTCAAGAGCAAAGATGTCAATTTGAGGACTAAGGTGAACCTGACCTAAGACATAGTATTTTCAATAGCTTTATATGCCTGTGAAAGTTGGACAATGAATAAGAAAGACTAGAAGAATTGATGCATTTGAGTTACAGTGTTGAAAAATACTAAAAGTACCATGGACTGCTAGAAGAACACACAAATACGTGTTGGAAGAGGTGTAGCCAGAATGCTCGTTAAAGGTCATGATGGTGAGAATTTGTCTCTCATACTTTGGACATATTATCAGGAGGGATCAGTTTTTAGAGATACATCATGCTTGGTAAAGTGGAGGGTCAGCAAAAAAAGGGATGACCCCAACTTGATGGATTGGCATAGTGGCAACAGAAATTGGATCAAGCTTAACAATGATTATGAGGATGGCACAAGACTGGGCAGTGTTTTGTTCTGTTGTGCATAACAACAAAAACAATACCATCTTCATTGTATAGGGTCTGTGTAGCACGTTTGCCTTGTCTGCCATCTTGCTGGAAGTCCTGTGTCCTTTTGATATGTCCCTACCATTTTTCTTGTATTTCTTTACTTTTGGCATCCTGTACTTTACTTGTCCCAGCAATGGGACCATTAACTTCTCCAGGGCTCCTGGCTCCTTTTAGTGGGGAATAGTATTTAGAGAACATTAACTTATTCCTGCTGAGGCTTCATCACTCACATGCTTAGAACTGGAAACGTTTATACATAGGCATTTTAAAATAATAAATTCATACTTACACCTCTAATTCTAATACATTATCTTAGAGTTCTTTGATTTTTCCTATTCTCAATATTTTTTGGTAAGTATGGGAGTCCTGGTGTGGCGGGGAAGGTTAATGCACTGGACTGCAAGGTTGGTTTGAATTGCAAGGTTGGCAGGTTCAAGTTTACCAGTTGCTCCTCGGAAACCCTATACAGGCTTGCTATGAGTCAGAACTGATTCAATGGCACTTAAGAACAACAACATGGGTCGGCAACAACTGATGGCACTTAATAACTGTTCTATTTTTCCTATTCTACTTCCTATTCTTGAATTTCCCACAGTGAGAACTCTGGCTCCCATTAACATGTATTTACTCATTTGCTCAACTCTGCAACATATGCAAAACGGTTATAAATTTGCCACAGCAATATCCCTACAAATGCTAAATCTACTAAATAGAGTTCCAGATTTCTTTGTAGTTCATTTTACCTTTGCACTGAGAATATCATGAAAGTACTGTGTTGAAAAATTACTTGGATTAGATGTTGTACCTTCCCCCCTTTGTCAATGAGTTTATTTTACTTTTTATTATGAAAAAACTCAAAATGGTCATAAAATAAAAACTCTACAAAAAAGTAGTCAGAGAAGGGTTATTCCCCTTCCTATACCCATCTACCATATACCTCCTATCTCTAAGAGGTGACCAATTTCATTAGGTTCCGTCTATTCTTCCTATACTTCTGTTTGCAAAAATATATAGATACATATAGAAATTCTTAACCACCTCTTCTTTGTTATGTCAAAATTGGCAAAAATAATATTAAAATAGCTCTTAAAACATGGAAAAGATATTCAGCTGTACACATATGATAAATGTAACTTAAAACTATACTGAATCTTGAATGTGGGGCTGATGATCTGTTCTATAAGCCTTCACTCAATTCATAAAAAAAGTTAGAAAAACAAAACTGAAATACCACTTTTCACCTATCAGAATGGTAAACATTTCCAAAAGTTCACCACACAGTCTGTTGGTTAACAGTGGCGAAACAGGCACTCTTAAATACACTGAGAGTGATAAGTGGTGCAACCCTCATGAAGGGAAATTTTGCAATATCTGTCAAAACCACATATACGAGTGTATTTACCCTTTGATCAGCACCCCCACTTCTAGGATTCTATCCTGGAGATATCGCTCCAGCCATATTAACATATACTGTACAAGTTTATTCATTATGGTATTATTAGAAATAAGTCTAAAAGTTCATACATGGGAAATTAATTGAATAAGATAAATCCACATCAGAATATTGTGAAACTCTAAAAACTAAGGAAGAACCCCTATGAACCAATACGGAGTAATTTCCAAGATAATTGGGTAAGTGAAAAAAATCAAAGTATAAGAAAAAACAAAACAAAAAAAAATATATATATAGGGTCCTGGTGTGGCACTGTAAAATAAGCAGTGGACTACTAACTGTAAGGTCTGCAATTCAAATCCACCAGCTGCTCCTTGGAAACTCTATATAAGGCCACTATAAGTTGGAACCAACGCAATGGCATTAACAACTATAGTTGTTGGGTACTATTAAGTCAGTTCCGACTCATTCATACATATATGTGTGTACATATATGTATATATCTCTAATTAGAGGTATAACTAATTCTATGGCACTTAAAAACAGTAACACATTAACATGTGTTATACATATGAATCGGGCTGCTAATCTTAAGGTCAGCAGTTCGAAAGTACCAGCTGTTCCACAGGAGAAAGAAGAGGCTTTCTGCTCCCATAAAGATTTACAGCCTCGGAAACCCTGTACAGGGTCGCTATGAATTGGAACTGACTCCATGGCACATAACAACAACAGAAACATGTTGTTGTTATACAATATTGTTGTTGTTATATGTTATCTAGTCGGTTCCAACTCATAGCTACCATGTATAGGGGTCCCAAGGAGCAGGTGGTGAGTTTGAACCACCAACCTGTGGTTCAAACTGACCTTTCAGTCCAGTGCTTGATCCTACAGTGCCACACTCCATACATATATATGTGTGTGTGTGTATATACACACACACACACACACCAGGACTCCATACATATATATGTGTGAGTATATATATACACATACACACCAGGACTCCATACATATATGTGTGTATGTATATATACACCAGGACTCCATACATATATATACATATCATATATACACATATGATCTAAATCCACTGCTGTACAGTCTACTCTGACTCACAGCAATCCTACATAGGGTTTTCGATGCTGCAAATATTTACAGGAGCAGAAAGACACATCTTTCCCTCACGGAGCAGCTGGTAGGCTTGAACTACTGACACTGTGTCTAGTAGTCTAGTGCTTACCCGACAGCACTACCAGGGCTCCTATATATACATGATATATATAAAGGTAGAAAATAATTACTGTACAAGCCAAGAGTAAAAACCAAAAACCAAAATATGAGTTGCTGTTGAATGAGTTCTAACTCATGGTACTCCATGTATCAGAGTAAAACTGTGTCTGTATGGTTTTCAATAGCTGTGACCTTTTGGAAGTAGATTGCAGGCCTTTTCTCCACGGCACCTCTGGGTAGAGTTGAACTGCTAACCTTTTGGTTAGTACCAAGCACTTCACCCTTTGGGCCACTCAAGTACTCCTACACCACAAACAGCAGGATATAATTCAACAAACTTTTTCCAAGCACCAAACAATGAAAAAATAAAACATGACCAAAAAACACTTTCTATGTGATCATGTCAATTTTGGTTCAGATGTGCCTGCCTAATATTTGCTGGGAAGGAAAGATAACCTTCAGGTATAATCTGCAGAGGAAAACTGATTTATGCCTTGAAAAAAGTCAAGAGAAAATAATAGAGAGCAGCCATTTGTGTCTCTTACCTGAAGCTCTGCTTCCAGGCCCAGTCGTCGGATAAAGGGGTCAGTGACGTGATAGCACCGCTCAAAGCTCAGGGCACCTCGCTCCTGGGGAACAGAAAGAAACTCATGGTTTAACTGACACCAAGTCAACATAATGTCTCTGTGGTATTATATATCCAGCACTGTAATGGGCACCATAGAAGCTAGAAAAGACAACAAGAAAATTGGTCTGTAGGAACTTGTACTCTATTTGGGCAAGGACAGAAAATAAAAGAAGACAACAGAAACAAGCAATAAACTGTGTGCTGTTAGGTTATGAAAAAAGGAAAAAGAAAGAAAAATTGGAAACAAGTACGGTACTGTTTCCATATGTTTAGGTTAAAGAGAGTTGGGATTATCATCTTTAAGACACATATTGTGGGGTATGAGGGATACACAAAGGAAAAGAATAATATGCATGATCCCTCTCTCCACCACAGCTCTATGATTCTGTGACTCTCAGAGATGGTCCCTTGTCCTTGAGGGCCACTTTTTCTAATGAAATCTTCCCACCACTACACAACCCAGAAAATAGACAAAGCTCCAAAAGAATTCAGGGATATAAGTATCCTTGCCTTTTCAAAGTTAGCTCTTTACATCTCTTTGCTTTTATAAAAGACCTACATTAGTACCAAAAGAAATATGAAGAGAATTTTCACCTTTTGCAGAAAAAAGGTGAAATGTGACAACAGCATTTACCATTTGTTTTGCAGCTAGCCATTAAAGAGGCAGCATGCATCAAAAGTCCTGGTGTGGTGCTGTGGGCTAATGCCCTGGACTGCAAAGTCAGTTTGAACCATAAGATTGGTGGTTCAAGCTTACCAGTCGCTCCTTGGAAATCCTATACAGGGTCACTATGGGTCGGAATCAACTCAACATCACTTAAAAAGAACAAGAGCAGTGAGAGTGATGGTACTAAGCTCCTTCCCCGGGAGCTACACTCAGCATATCTCAGCATCAAGTTGCTTTGAACTGTGTCTGTGAACACTATGATGTTGCTGTTGTTAAGTGCTGTCAAGTCAGTTCCGACACACAGATTAGTAAGCACTATGCACGGTACATAACAACAACATGCTACCCGAGCTCCTTACATAAGACTTCATAGGAATGCTCTACTTTTGGAAAGTCGGAGAAATCTGTACATGGAAAAATTCTTTTGGATGGTAACTATAATTAATGTTAATTTAATGTTTTTAGCACTTAACTTTTTCAAAGAACTTTTTCATGTCTTTCAAATTTCATTCTTAAGGTCAGCCTGCAGGTAGGTAGCCCTTATTATCATTTGTTGTTACGTGCAACGGAGTCAGTGACTACTCATAGCGACCTTATGCACAGAAAAATGAAACAACGCTCGATCCTGGGCCAACCTCACTATTGTTGCCACGCTTGAGCTCACTGATGCTGCCACTTGGCCAATCCATCTTGCTGGGGGGCTTCCTCTTTTTCTCTGACCCTCCACCTTATCAAACATGATATCCTTCTCCAGTGACTGGTCCCTCCTGACAATATGTCCGAAGTATGAGAGACGAAGTTTGGCCACCTTGGCCTCCAAGGAGCATTCTGGCTGCACTTCTTCCAACACAGATCTGTTGGTTGTATGGGCAGGCCACGGCACCCAATATTCTCCTCCAATACCATAACTCAAAAGCATCAATTCTTCTACGGTTTTCCTGATTTACTGTCTAACTTTCACATGCATATGAGGTTATTGAAAATACCATGGCTTGGGTCAGGCGCACCTTAGTCCTCAAACTGACATCTTTGCTCTTGAACACTTTAAAAATGTCTTGTGCAGTAGATCTGCCTAATGCAATACGTCACTTGATTTCTTGGTTGCTGCTTCTACGAGTGTTGATACTTGATCCATGAAGAATGAAATGCTTGACAACTTCAATCTTTCCTCCCATGATAAGAATGTTGTTTATTGGTCCAGTGGTAAAGATTTCTGTTTTCTTTACATTGAGATGAAATCCATACTGAAGGCTGTGCTCTTTGATCTTCATCAGTAAATATTTTAAGTCTTCTTCACTTTCAGCAAGCGAAGTTGTATCATCTGCATATCACAAGTTGTTAATGAGTCTTCCTCCAAACCTAATGCCACATTTTTCTTCATATAACCCAGTTTCTCGGATTATTTGCTCAGCATACAGGTTGAATAAGTATGGTGAAAGAATACAACCCTGTTGTACACCTTTCTTAATTTTAAACCATCCAGTGTTCCCATGTTCTGTTCAAACAACTGCCTCTTGGTCCAAGTACAGATTTCTCACGAGCAGAATTAAGTGTTCCAGAATACTCATACTTTGCAATATTGTCCATAGTTTTTCATGATCCATGCAATCAAAAGCCTTTGCGTAGTCAATAAAGCATAGGTAAACATCTTTCTGATATTCTCTGCTCTCAGCCAAGATCCATCGGACATCAGCAATGATATCTCTCGTTCCACAGCGTCTTCTGAATCCAGCTTGAACCTCTGCAAGTTCTCTGTCAATGTATGCTTATAGCTATTTCTGTATTACCTTTAGTAAAACTTTACTTGCATGGGATATCAAAGATATTGTCCAGTGATTTCTGCATTTCGTTGGGTCACCTTTCTTTGGAATGGACACAAATATGGATCTCTTCCAATCAGTCGGCCAGATAGTTGTCATCCAAATTTCTTGGCAGAGATGAGTGAGTGCCTCCTGTTCCGCCTCACTTTCTTGAAA